GAATGCCTGGACTGCCTATTCGAAAACCTTCATCTTCATTCTTGCTGGAGACATTATGTCGTCAGGAGGTTTCATCACCTGCTGCCACTAGATGGTGCCTGTCATTGAAACAAAGGTTCTTCCTCCCATCTTTGTTTCCTTTAGGTGCCTATAAGGACGTTGGACGATATCAAAGAAATTTGATTGATAAGTTAAGTAGTGGGTTAGTGTTCTAGAAGGTCATTTAGCGCAGAGTTATTTATTTTATTTTGTAATAAATTTATTTTTTTAATTTATTTTTGGCTGCGTTGGGTTTTCATTGCTGTGTGCAGGCTTCTCATTGTGGTGTCTTCTCCTGCTGCAGAGCACGGGCTCTAAGCGTATGGGCTTCAGTAGTTGTGGCACGTGGGCTCAGTAGTTGTGGCTCGTGGGCTCTAGAGCACAGGCTCAGTAGTTGTGGAGCATAGGCTTAGTTGCTCTGTGGCATGTGGGATCTTCCTGGACCAGGGCTCGAACCCTTGTGCCCTGTGTTGGCAGGTGGCTTCTTAACCACTGTGCCACCAGGGAAGCCCCACAGAGAGTTACTTATTAAAAAAAAAAAATCATTGTCCAAAAAGACTACTTATATTGTTTTTCTAATTCCACTAATTTTTTCTGTTCATCCTTCTTGTCACCAAGCTGTGTGAACTCCAGTACAAAATGAACAAATAAATCTTTCTTTGGGCTCATGAGAATCAAGGGACATAATTCAAGGTTTAGAATCAGTGAAAAAAAGATCTCAGGATTCATTGTCCTTGCTCAGAATAGCAATAGCAAAGGTGACCACATGCAGAGATAACGAGAAAAAGTTAATGACCTTTCAAAAGAAAAACACTTGCATCTCAATTACTGGACAATAATCAATAGGAAAGGAAATGGAACATGCTCTTTTAATTGTGGGATACCAAACATCACGTAATGAGAAAGATAACAGGTTGTTGGCTTGTTGCCAGTGACAGCTCCTTTTATCATTAATTTAAGGCACACACAAAACCTCAGCCCAAAGTGCTCTAATTCCCTCTCTGCCTCCCACCCCACACTCCAGCCCTATACTCTTTCAGGGTAAAATTATGTCAATCTTGATAGTGAAATGCCTTCAGGGGTTACTTATTTGGTTTGTGTGAAGGACAGTTTGATATATTTTGTAGCAGAATATTGGAAAACATAAGCTTGGATTTTTCCTTTCCCAAACAGTCACCAACGCTGACCATTCATGGCTGGTTCACGATTATAATAAGAAATTGTCAGCTGTGTTGAAATACATAATCCACAGTGTGGAAACTGCAGAACGGCAGTTGTAAATTCTTAATACAAAAGTGTCTTCTCTTTTCCTGTGAGCTTGCTTTGGGGTTGCTGATTCTTGCTAACTGTGTGCTCAGGGACTGAAAGTTAATTTTAACATTAGTCTAAAAACAAAATATAACTGTGTAGGGAAAACCTTTAAAGCTAAAAAAAAAAAATCTTGTTTTGAGTTTCTCACATCACTGCAGTGGGTCATGTTGAATGTGTGAGCATATATGTGAGCCAGATGTAACAACAGCCAGACACACAACATTAATGCAATTTAATTTTAAACATTAGACAGCTTCTGGTGGTTCCTAGTGTCTCCTGAGCATTGACTAAGGATTTTAAACACACTACATTTTTTAAAAAGATACGAGTATATACCTGCTTCCCAAGCAGTGGTGAGGTACAATAGATCTATTCCAGTTTTAAATACTGGAAAGAAAAGTGTTTTCCCCTGGGACTTCCCTAATGGCACAGTGGTTAAGAATCTGCCTGCCAATGCAGGGGACATGGGTTCAAGCCCTGGTCCAGGAAGATCCCACATGCCGTGGAGCAACTAAGCCTAACCGCCACAACTACTGAGCTTGCGCTCTAGAGCCCGCGAGCCACAACTACTGAGCCCGTGTGACACAGTTACTGAAGCCCGCGCCTAGAGCCTGCGCTCCCAACAAAGAGTAGCCCCGCCCCCTTCTCCTCGCAACTAGGGAAAAGCCTGCAGGCAGCAATGAAGACCCAACGCAGACAAAAAAAAAAAAAAAAGCCTTGTCCCCAAATTATTTCCCTCCAGATTCCCCCCCCCCTCAGTCTTATTAATTACAGCTTAGCACTGAAGGAAGGTTTGGAACCAAATCTTTGGAGCAGGTTGTCAGTATGTGATATTATTTCTCTTGGGCTTTATGTGCTTCGGTGGCTATCCTCAAAGATGCAGTTTGGTCAGTGACTTCCACATGTGTATTATATATATAATATGTATTAATAGGCTTATATAGGCTTACGTCATATACCGTGAGGCTCAAATCCATTAAGTGGCTTCTCTCTAGCAGTACTCAAAACATTAGATGGTGTCTGTGCTGACGGTCTGTTTATAGCTTAATGGTCTACTTAACTGATCACGATGGGGCTGGGTCATTGATATATTATTAGTAGTATGTGCTTGGCAAAGGGGACTTAAACTCTAATTGGCCTTAGGAACACAGTAAATACAATAATCCCTTTATATCCTCAAGAAACTCCCTTGGATGGCTTAAAGATGTTTCCCAAACTGCTTGAGGACGACAGAAGTCCAGTGACATAAGCGAAGGACAAGGTTGAGAGCCGTGCTCTCCCCAGGCATCCTCTGCTAAAGGTGTACGATGTCTTAATACTGTGTGCTGGCAGCACTCTCTCTACCTATATTCCTCAAGTTTTATAAAGTAGCGTCAAGAGTGACCTGGGGCTGGGAAATGCCAGCAACTTCAGTTCTGCAAGAGAGAAAAAGCTCTCCCCAGCGGGGAACTCTAGCGAATAGGACAAAAAGCTGGTCCTCGCAGCCCGCTCAGGGCGTGAGAGAGACGGAACCGAGGAAGGCGAAGGCGGCGGGTCGGGAGCCGGGTCCTCGGTCAGCTCCAGCCGGGCGCTGCGCGCAGAGCCGGGGCCCCCGGCAGAGGCGGTGCGGCGCGAGGCCCCTCCCCGCCGCCACCGCCGAAGCCCGGGCTGCTGACGCCGAGCGGCGGCCCGGAGCGGTGGGGGCCGGGCGCGCGCGAGCGAGGGCAGGGCAGGGGGCCGGCCGAGGCCAGTCGCGGCTTTAAATATGGATCGCGGGCTCGCGCTCGTGGCACAACCTCCGCCACCGCCGCTTTCTCCGATCCCCCCGCCCTCCCCGGGCTCGCTCCCGAGGGGCGTCCAGGCCGGGCACCGCCGCTGCAGTGTTAGTTACTGGCAGAAACGTTGGCAGAAACGTTGGCGATCCCCATAAATATGCAGGAGCTGCAGAAGGCAAAGTAGAGTAGACGCCCGCGCTCTCCCACACTCACTGGCCGCTCACCACGCGGGCCGTGTAGATATCTATCCCCCGCGCTATCTCCCCCCTTTTCTCGCGGGCCGTTCAGGTTCCCGTCCTGCTGGCTCCGAGGACCCTCCCGCCCCAGCGCCCTCGCCCCGTCCTCGCCTCCCTCCGCCCCGGAGCGCGCACCCACCCGGGCGGCAAAGTTGTGACTACTTGGGCGCGGGTGGCTCGCGCCCCGCTCGCTCCGCGCCTCGCACCAACTTCCCGCGGTTCGGCCCCGCTGCGCCCCGAGCCCACGCCTCCGGGAATCCCGCGGGCCCCCAGCTTCCAGCCCCGGCGGCGCGCCGGGCAGCGCTTCGGTGGCGGCGGCGGCGGCGGCGAAGGCGGCGCAGGCGGTGGCGGCGGCGGCGGCTGCAGCCCCACACTCAGCCGCCAAACTGGAGGAGCGACGGAAGCCGGACCCGAGGAGGTGAGCGCCCGGCCAGGGCCGGGGAGGGAGGGTCGGCCGACTCCCCCGCCTCCCGGCGGCGGCGGGCGCTGGGGCGGCGGGCCCGGGGCAGCTCCCGGAGGGGGCTCAGGCGGCCTCTGGCGCGCGCCGGGAGGAAGAGAGAGGTCGGTTGCGGGCCGGGCATCCCCGGGGCTGGGCGCTGGCGGAGTGGCTTTAAATATGGATCGCGGGCTCGCGCTCGTGGCACAACCTCCGCCACCGCCGCTTTCTCCGATCCCCCCGCCCTCCCCGGGCTCGCTCCCGAGGGGCGTCCAGGCCGGGCACCGCCGCTGCAGTGTTAGTTACTGGCAGAAACGTTGGCAGAAACGTTGGCGATCCCCATAAATATGCAGGAGCTGCAGAAGGCAAAGTAGAGTAGACGCCCGCGCTCTCCCACACTCACTGGCCGCTCACCACGCGGGCCGTGTAGATATCTATCCCCCGCGCTATCTCCCCCCTTTTCTCGCGGGCCGTTCAGGTTCCCGTCCTGCTGGCTCCGAGGACCCTCCCGCCCCAGCGCCCTCGCCCCGTCCTCGCCTCCCTCCGCCCCGGAGCGCGCACCCACCCGGGCGGCAAAGTTGTGACTACTTGGGCGCGGGTGGCTCGCGCCCCGCTCGCTCCGCGCCTCGCACCAACTTCCCGCGGTTCGGCCCCGCTGCGCCCCGAGCCCACGCCTCCGGGAATCCCGCGGGCCCCCAGCTTCCAGCCCCGGCGGCGCGCCGGGCAGCGCTTCGGTGGCGGCGGCGGCGGCGGCGAAGGCGGCGCAGGCGGTGGCGGCGGCGGCGGCTGCAGCCCCACACTCAGCCGCCAAACTGGAGGAGCGACGGAAGCCGGACCCGAGGAGGTGAGCGCCCGGCCAGGGCCGGGGAGGGAGGGTCGGCCGACTCCCCCGCCTCCCGGCGGCGGCGGGCGCTGGGGCGGCGGGCCCGGGGCAGCTCCCGGAGGGGGCTCAGGCGGCCTCTGGCGCGCGCCGGGAGGAAGAGAGAGGTCGGTTGCGGGCCGGGCATCCCCGGGGCTGGGCGCTGGCGGAGTGTGCAAGCCGAGGACGCGGAAGAGTACTTTTTTTCTTCTTCGCGTTTAGAGGAAGAGTTTGGGTGGTCCTGTTTCTCCCCCACTGTAAAGCCCTCAGCGCGTAACCCGGCGTTGCCGCCCGGACTGGGGGGCCGCAGTACCCCGCGGGCTGGGCTCCGGCGCAGTGACACGTGTGTTCCTGTGAGCCTGGGTGGCCCCAGTGTGGCTGGGCACCTGCTTGAGAGGGTAACGTCCCCAAACCCACTAGCGGGGGAGGCTTGTGGGGGGATCTTTAGGTGCCGCCGAGACCGCGGCCCCCACTTCACTGCCAGCTCCGAGATGGAGCATTCACATCTTTCCCTGGCACGCCGAAAGCGGGGGTGAGTCAGGCAGATTCTCTGCAAGTGGCACACACACAATTATTTGCAATGGATTTGGAAAGGGTAGGCAGAGGTTAAACTGGGATTTCTCTTGGCCGGCGACAGTGGAGCTCTTCCTCAGGTACTGGGCAGCATGTGCGTCTTGGCAAGAAGAGGTGATTTCTTTTTTCTTAAGTGCATTTTACCCAGCCTTTGCCAGTCCGTTAATAAGAGTCACCAAAGGAAGGCAGGAGTTGGGAACTACATCAGCAAACTGCAGCAAGCACCACAAGCAGGAAAGTTATTAAAGAACAAAAGAACAATAACAACAAAAAACCCCGGAATTTGACATGAGAGATGGAGAAGGAAGCCATTCTACCTCTGTTCTACCATCGTAAACCATTTTTTAAAAAGTTCCACCTGGGCTTCCCTGGTGGTGCAGTGGTTGAGAACCCGCCTGCGGATGCAGGGGACGCGGGTTCGTGCCCCGGTCCGGGAAGATCCCACGTGCCGCGGAGCGGCTGGGCCCGTGAGCCATGGCCGCTGAGCCTGTGCGTCCGGAGCCTGTGCGTCCGGAGCCTGTGCTCCGCAACGGGAGAGGCCACAGCAGTGAGAGGCCCGCGTACCGAAAAACAAAACAAAAACAAAACAACAAACTTCCCACTTCTCTTCAGCCCCTCTATTAAACATCTCTCCTGTTCACTTTAAAAAAAAAAAAAAAAAAGTTCCATCTAAAACTTCTGTTTTGTCCACCCCTCATTCCTTCTCCAGGCCTTGCCTTCATAATTGGCCTGCACCAAGCTCTTTCCAGGCTTGATGATGAAGAGCACTTTATAATTCTGGTTTACCCTCCTTATTTCTTTTCCCATTTCACTTCAGTGCTGGAGAAAGTTGCTCCCAATGGGAAATCATGAACACTGGCCTGTGCCAAACACACATTGTCTCAAATCCTGGAACAATTCCTTTCCTAAGAGACACTGCATTGTAACATATTTCCCTTTTTCTCATGTATCTGGGACTTGGAGTTCGAATACTACCTGAATTAAATTTAAGTGTACATTGCTCAGTATGGCTTAGTTTTTCATATTGGTTTGAATAGATTGTTCAAAGCAGTTAGAGCAGTATTCAGTAGCTTTTATGGCCAATGTAATGTCTTTTGAAAAGGTTTCTGACTTAAGAACTCTCTTCCTTGTATCCATCACATTAACATTTAAGTAATTTTCATGGTCATTATGGCACTTAGATTGAGGTTATTAGTATAACTTCAGTCAAAGAAAGCATGCCTACTTCTTTTTCTATAGCTTTAACAACTGGGGAAAAAAAACTTTTACTTTCATTTTAAAGTTAAATGTAGTGATAAGATTCTGTTCTCTTTCTATTACATCTTGAAATTGAATAGTTTTAACTTTATCTCAGGGTCTCTGGTAAGATGACAAAAAACTCCCACATATATGGATAGAGAGAGGAAAGTAGTACTCTTATGAACTCTTGAGGCATAGGGTATTTATCAGAGTGGAGGTGGGAGGGAAAAGATGGGATATTTTGATAGTTCCAGGCATGTCTACCTTTGTGAAAACAGAAAACGAAGAAACCCCCAACATTTTGCATGAAGCTGTTTTCAAAATTAGGTTTTGGGTATCATTTAATGTTTAGGGGTCATTCTGGATCCTTACTAACATATATGTATCTCTTTCAGTTCATTTTGTCAACGTAAAATGACTTTAAATGTTTGAATGTTAGTGTTATTAGTTTAGTCTTTTAAATGATTAGAATATGTTTTGGGTTTAGAACAGTGTGTGAAAGCAATACAGGGAATCATATTTAGAGAAAACATTGTGATAGAAACGGGTAACCTTTGGGACAACTTCCAGCACACTCTGGTGGTAATTTCATTTTTCACTTAGCTCCAGCACGTATAATTTTAAGGTTCTGATAACAAGGTGGATAGCTTACAAGGTCAGGCCATAGCTTACATCTTAAAGAAAACACAGCACTTAAGGAAAGGAAATACACATAAGTTTTTGAATCATGTAGATAATCAGGTTTCTCTGCCTGCCTCTGAGGGCGCTGCAGTCCGCGAGGACTACTTTTGTTAGGGGAGAGAGTCCTGTGAGAATTCACTGCTACTTAAGTGTGGCAACACACATCATCTACTTGTTTTGGAGTGTTTCTTTGTTCGTTTTTAATGTGAATAGAAGCCAAGACTGGAGTTGATGGCTATAAAGATTGGGAGTGGAAAGAACAAACTGAGAAGAGAAAAATCTAATGATGATGAAAGTTTCTAAGGAGGTTTTCCTTGATTGCTAAATGGAAAGAATCAGGGCACATGATTTGATGGGACAAAAGAAGCTGTAAGCGGAACACCTATCTTGGTTCTCACTGTTGCTGCAGTTTCTGAGGCCAACCTGTGATTTATGACGTTTATCTATGTTAGGGAAGCCATTTAGCAAAACACATAGTTTAGGAACATCCAGGAAGTTAGTAAGACTTTTACAAAACTAAATTAGATCTTGCTACTTTCAGGAACTTTTTGCATAATGCAGGAATTCTAAGGGAGGGGAAGAATAATGTTTTTTTCATATAAGGTCAGGGCTTAGTTGTATTTCACATACACTTTTTTTTTTTTTTTTTGTGGTACGCGGGCCTGTCACTGTTGTGGCCTCTCCCGTTGCGGAGCACAGGCTCCGGACGCGCAGGCTCAGTGGCCATGGCTCATGGGCCCAGCCGCTCCGCGGCATGTGGGATCTTCCCGGACCGGGGCACGAACCCATGTCCCCTGCATCGGCAGGCGGACTCTCACCACTGCGCCACCAGGGAAGCCCCTCACATACACTTTGCCTTTCTCCCAAGAGCTAAGCATTTGATATGTTTATGTCACAAATAGAAAATATGCTGCTGTCCTTCTAACATTAAGATGATATTTTATATCCCCTGTAGTGCACACCGTTAAGTTATTTTTGCAGCAGTGGAGATGGATTCTTTTAACCCACCTTTTACCCAGTTCTTTTGTCTGATGTACATTTACACACATGCACATGCACAGGTGCACGATAATACTCATTTGTAGAGGTAGCCGATTTTATTTTATCTGAAACCATATTTATGACTGTCATAATGATTTTGTGGCAATGACTTTTATTGCATTTCTCTAGTCTCAGCAGTGCCATGGCATTTCAAACAAGGCATCAAAAGGACAGCCAGCTATGAATGGTGATGGATTTATTTACCTGCTGTGACAAAGAAGAGAGAAAACTTTTTCTTCTTATCTTCTTCATGATGTTCATAATTTCATCCCTCAATGATAAGGTCTTACTTGCCTTTGGATTAAGTTATGTGTTCGAAAAGATGGTGATAGAACTAATAATGGTGAAACCATGTACATCTATAGTTGTTTTCAGAAGCCAAAACATCCATCTTTTTCTGCTGCCCTGAAAATTAAGTAGATGTAAGGGATTATCATGCTTGTCGAAAAGATGAGGAAGTTAAGACACAGCGAACTTTGTATGCTTTTCTTAAACTAAGCGGAAAACTATTGGTGGAGGTGGGAGTGAACATTTCATCTTTGAACTAGTGACGCCTGTTTATTGAATGACTGTTATCAAATGAACGAGTATTGTTTTTAGTCACAGCTTTTAAGATACTAAAGCAGATGAACATTGATCTTGGTGTAAAGTGAGAGTTTCCATTCCTGTAGGTAATTCTGTTCAGCAGAGGCACCCACCTGTCTCCGCTTTAGTTCAGGTCCTGCAGTGCCCGCGGGTGAAGCTTTCAGTTTGTGTGTGCCCATTCTAGCTCCAGCCTTGAGAGCTAACTTTTGTTTTTCATGGAGAATGGATACAGAAAGAAGTTACATGAAATTAGGATGTAAAAGGAAATAATCACCAACTAGTATTTCAAGGTTTTTTTTTTTTTTTTTTGACTTTGTGGATTATTGTGTAGAAAAAGAGTATCCTTTGTTTCACTTGAATTTCTGTATTGGAAACATTAAAAAAGTTTTAAATAAAACTTTTAGTATACATTTTTGGGGGATTTGATAAATCAAAATTAATAAAAATACAAAATGACAAAGGAATATATTCTTTGAAACTGATATGATGTTCTATGAGTGACACAATTAGAAAAAGTGTTCATAACGTCTTGGGTAAGAAGTTAACAGTTGGACTAACAATGCAGGGGACACAGGTTCGAGCCCTGGACGGGGAAGATCCCACATGCCGCGGAGCAACTAAGCCCGTGCGTCACAACTACTGAGCCTGTGCTCTAGAGCCCTTGAGCTGCAACTGCTGAGCCTGTGTGCCACAGCTACTGAAGCAAACGCGCCTAGAACCTGTGCTCCACAGCAAGAGAAGCCTCCGCAATGAGAAGCCTGTGCACTGCAACGAAGAGTAGTAGCCCCCGCTAGCAGCAACTAGAGAAAGTCCGGACGCAGCAGTGAAGACCCAATGCAGCCAAAAAAAAAAAAAAGTTAGCAGTT